TGGAAAAACGCACATATGGAAATGAAAATGAATTTTCATTTTCAAATTCATTATTCCTAATTAATTGAGGGGTAAAGATGTCAGTGTCAGAAGCAGTGAAAGAACAACATTACTAGAAAATTATGAAGTGGAGAGTGATCACATCTCAGATAATGCTGTTCTATTAACCATAAAACTATAACATATTTGGTCAAAATTTAAAAAATCCAAATTTAATCTTTGACATTAACTTCTCATGATGTTTTCGCTGGAATGTAAAGAGACTGAAAAATGACATTATTTGAGAAATGAAATTATCAATTTTCTTTTTCAATTTAAGGTAGTCGACAATGCATTTTTGAATTTTTTTTTATTATGGAGCAATTTTGCCAAAATTGTATTAGAATTGAATGTCATAATGGTGATATAATACAATATTATAAGAACTTTAATACACACCCTTGTACCAATTCATTGAAACAATCACTTCAGTTTACTCTCTTTCACTATACAGTCAGTTTTAGACCCCCTGGAGTGACAAGATGTAATTGATTGCTATTTTTCCTTCAGATTAGGTTCTTTGCAGTGGTGTGCAGTAATATGAATCTATTTTCAGGGCGTATGATGAAATTTTTTGGCCTTGAAAAATATTGCATCATCTGTTATTGCACCAGAGTTTTTCACACTGAGACACTATTGTCTCGACAGTCAATTAGTTGTCCTATGGCCATTGTCTGTGATAGACGTTACTCCAAAGAAGCATACGAAAATTGTAATGCTGCATGAATACACTGGCAAGCCTTACCATTGAGCAAATCAAAGTACTATAGACTAGGCCGGAAACTCTTCCGATTTAAATCCAGTCGAGAATGTGTGGTTAATCTGCAAGGAACGACGTCATGGAATGGACATAGTAAGTTATAATATACGCACTGGGTCATGTTTCATTGGAAAAATATGAAAAAAAAAATAATGGAATTATTCATTTTGTTTCGATTAATTTGCAAAAGGGTGTATTACAAACTGATAATAAATAAAAAACTAATATTATATAACTAGCATTGTTCATGTAAAAATGATGCAGTTATTTGCATATGGATCTATTGTTTCAATTAATGTTAGACTATAAATTTTATTATTATTATTATTTTGTAAGCAATAACTATATACTGATTACTGAAGGATTTATTTCTGGTGTTATTTCCTTTATTTGATATACAATCACTAAAAGCTCCCATTATAGTTCTCAACAATGCTATATTCTCTTATGATACCTTGGAACCATGAGTTGCAGAATTCGTGCAGAATCTAGCTAAATTCCATAGTCTAGACATATTCCATGACTAGACATATTTTTCCAATTGGTATTTATCAGCTAAATCTTTCAGATTTGTAATGTATACTTGTAAAATCTATGTGACACAGAAAGTTTAAATAGCTTCAAGGATGCTTTCTGAAAAAGCAACACTATCAGTACAGGAAAATCCGCTTATAAGAGAGTTCAAGGATTTAGCCAGAAAGAATTGATTATAATGGAATTGTGTCAGTGTTTTTGGATGGAAAATAATGTGGAAGCAAATAAAAAAAATTTAAAACGAGGGAGAAATGATCAAAGATATATTTAAAGAAAAACTGCCAAAAAAAAAACCAACAAAAAACAAGTTAAAACAAATTATTATAAAAGAATTTGAGAAGATAAAACCAGACAAGATTAAGAGATAGATTACAAAACATTGTCAAATAAAAAATAAAGATGACTACAAAAATAATAGATAGACTAGTCTTTACACACACACACACACACACACAACACACACACACACACATACACACACATATATATATTTATATTGTTTTGTATGTGCAGTACTTAGTGGAAAGCACTAACTATCAGTAATAGAGCTAACATAATAAGTTGTATCGATATAAGTTTGTGACCCTGGTTTTCATGAGTTTGTCTGATGATTGCAAAAGTGTGAAAACCCAGGGTCACAAACTCATAGCCATAAACTGAATATATATATATATATATATATATATATATATATATATATTAAAGACATTTTTATGTTTAACATTCTTTTATAGATACAAGTATTTAAGTAAATGCTCTGTTTATAATAAACAGTATTAAATAACATTTACCGGCCTGAATGTCCGAGAAATTTTCATAGAAAATATTCGTCCTTTGACAGAATTCGAACCTGCATCCTATACGGAACCGTCATTTACGCTGACGTGCCTTAACCAACTCGTAAATGACGGTTCCGTATTGGCAAAACACAATTGTTTTTGCACGAAATCAATTTGAAACACAATAAACCACGATTCTGTCGCCAGAATGAAAGGAGGACAACTCATATCGAGTTATACTTATAAAACCCAGGTTGTTTGTTTGTTTGAGTGTGTGTGCGTGTTCATTTATATATTGGATCGGATTTCCTACATTTTTCAACCGATTTCAACAAAACTTATTGTCTTCTACACTTTTTTCTTTATTTTTACATACACAAATGCTTTAAAACATCCATTTACAAGACAATTGTTTATAATAAAATTCTATTCAATCGATAGACTCAACGATTGAAAACAATGTTTTTGTTTGAGTTTGGGTTTGATCAATTCGTAAAAAAAAAAAAAAAAACTAATTAAGACATACGTGTCCGTCAACCTTAAACAATAATCTTTATCAATTTCATTTTTATGATGGTCGATACTTGATCTATCTCTTACTGTTACATCCCCGGGCAACGCCGGGCTCTACTGCTAGTTATATCTGTGTTGATGTATTCAACCATTTTCTTTTGATTTTGAACTGCCATACACAATATATACATACATACATATATATATATCTATATATATATATGTGTGTGTGTGTGTGTGTGTGTTTGTGTGCATTTGTTGTGAAAAAACAAAAAACCGATAAATGAAATATACATATTTATATTTGATATTTAAAAATAATTTTTAAATAATTTGTTATTCTGTTACATTTATTTGATTTAAAAGATGTATAGTCTATTACTAATTAAAATTAAGAATAATATTTTAAAATGGTAGTTCAACAAGACGTATTCATATACAAACAACCCTTTTAGAAAAAATCTTTATGTATACAAGTACAAATTTAACGGTGAAAGAAAAGTGCCGAAAAAGTTTTTGTTGTTGAAAAACACCAGACGACATGCGTTAAACGGATGTCATCATTCCTCTACCCTACCTTGACTTAAGCTTTTTCGAAAGTAAATCATACTTTGATACAATAGTTGTCAGTGAAAAATGTTAGACATTTTGACGGTCGTCCTCGAGTATAGAATCCAGAGGTTGGCAGTTAATATTTCGGAGACAGTAGTAAAGCGTAGTGCAGGTTCGCAGTGGATATCTCAGCAAAGTAGCAGAACGTAGTTCTTCCGTCTGTCATGTTCGCCTGACAAGTTGGCTCTGGTCATTACGGTAGGAAAACAAAGATGGCCGCCTTTATACACGACGGATACAGTGTTCTGCGGCTTCTGATTGGTCAACTTTCTATTGGTCGACTATAAAGGGAATTAAGTCATTTTGACTCGCTCACTAGTTACCTCCATATATACACAAAAAACTGTAACAAAAAAGAATACCCTGCCTCCCCTTTTTAAAATGATTGGATTTCTCCATATCCATAGAAACTAAGATTATGAATATATGTGCTTAAAAACTAAGTTGTCACAAAAAATAAGTTGTTACAAAATTCGTTTAAAAATGAAAACGAACTAGGGACTTTAATTTAATTCTATAATTGAATTTGAAGTTTTTAGCTTCTATTTTTGAAACATTGTAATTCTTGTGTAGCGATGGAACCATATTCTTTAAATAAGTAAATATATATATATAGTTTATTGGGGCAAATCATTATTCAAACAAATTATTAAATATAACAGACAACGGAAGTCTATTGTGCTTGATCATGAGCCGTTCTAAGCTTCTAGTGGCTTTAATTTGGATATTTTTTTTATTATGCTGTTCCTCGATCTAAACTTCCGGCTCATATGAGCCTTCATCATGAAATGTCGATATAAACACTCTGATGATGGCTCATGTGTGCTGAAAACTTAGATTGAGCTTAATAAAGAATATTGAAATGTTAGACAATTTTTGTCTCTATTTTTCTCCCGAAACTAAAGCCACTATACGAAGCTTAGAACGACTTGTGATCAAACATAATAGGCATTCATTGTCTGTTATATTTAACAATATATGTTTGAATATCTATCCATCTATCTATGTATCTCAGTCTATTTATATCTATCAGTCTATTCATATCTATCTAGCTCAGTCTGTTCATATGTATCTGTAGCAGACCCGGTAGCATGCAGTGCTGGCCTACGAAAAGGTGGCCTTGTGCCAGACACTACTCACGACTACCGAATTCACTAGCAAAGTAAAAAAAAAAGAATAAATGAAAATAATAAATGTGTGATCTTTTAACCGTAGAATTATTACAGTCTCCTTAGTGAGGAAAAAGGGTCATTCAACACATGCATAAAAAAGGTAAAAAATAGATAACCAGGAGAAACGACGAAAACGAGTCTGGTGGAAAACAAATATAAAACTTTATTTAATAAAAAGTATTTTTGTCTCAAACAGTGGAGACTATCAGAAAAGTAAAGCTAGTTCTTAGCAAGTAGGCAAATTGTATAAGGTAGTGACAAGTAGTCAGTAAAAGAATGTTAATGTTCCGCGCCAAAACGAAAATCAGAATGGCTAAGGCGGGAAAAGTTTCCCTCAGAAGGAAAATTCTGGAACAGAGTCTTCTTATGCAAAAGGTACATGCCTACACAACAAGGAAAACTACTCACTGCGAGATTTTTGTCATGTGGGTGTAATGTTATTTTTTTCTCTTTCTTTTTAAACTGGTTCGTAAGGTTAGAGTTCAAAAGGAGTATGTGAAGTTTATCAATCGTCCGTGTCGAAAAACTCTACGTTCCCTGGTAGTGAACGGAGGAAAGTTCGACCAAGTTCAGGACGAGGAATTATAAAAGTGAAAGGAAGGGGTGCAATACACTCGCGCACGTAATAGTAGGTGGAATCCCTGCGCGATTCCACATATCTATCTCAGTCTGTTCATATCTATCTATCTATCTATCTATCTATCTATCTATCTATCTATCTATCTCAGTCTGTTCATATCTATCTATCTATCTATCTATCTATCTATCTATCTATCTATCTATATATATCTATATCTATCTCAGTCTGTTCATATCTATCTATCTATCTATCTTTCTATGTCAGTCTGTTCATAACTATCTATCTGTCAGTCTGTTCATATCTATCTATCTATCTATCTATCTATCTATCTATCTATCTATATATATATATATATATATGTGTGTGTGTGTGTATATGTGTGTGTATGTGTGTGTGTGTGTGTGTGTGGATGAATGTTTATCTAGAAGTGACTGGAAGATCTACTTTTTCAGAATTTTAAAATCAGCTTTTTATTTTTAAATTCTGCATGGAATTGGTGAACTAGTTCTAGAATTATCCACAATGGTGGGATGAACCGCATTTATGCGAAGACAGAACTGACTTATAGGTTTTATTAATACTTTTTCCTTCTGCTGTTCATTTGGTAGGAACTAAATTAAAGTGACATTCTACCTTTTCAATCTGACAAGATTCTTGGAATGTTGATTATTTATTTTGTTTTGTTTTTTCCCCCTTCTCTCCAGTTAAAATAATTAGTTCAGCTGTCAAGAAGAATTTTGTAGTTGATTGTGATGACCATTAATTGTTCTCTAATGTCTGAGTACTCTGTTGGCCTGGGGCTGACCAAACATGTACGTTTGGCCAAAAAGTGCAACATATTGTAGCCATTAGGAAAATACTCTGTCAGACATTTCAAAAAGGCTGGCAGAAGATAAACAAAATTTACACTAAAAATATATTTCGTAGAATAGGTTTTATTATTTCAGAAAATACCAACACATTCGCTTACGCTCACATTGACGCATATATATATATATATATATATATATATATATATATATATATATATATACAAGGGTTCGATTGATAGATTGTTGTCTAAAGGACGCAAAAGTGAAAATAACACCGAAATTTTAACAGATATATTTACCAAAATTACACAAAAATATTTTGAATGAATAAAGTGTAGATTTATTCAATAAAATCGCCATTGGCTTAACCACGACCTCCAGACGGCTTCGGAATCTCCTGCAACTCCTGTGGGCGGTCTCTTTGTTTAATTTGGTGAATGTTGACACAATCCTTGTCTTCAGTTCATCTTTGCTGATACAAGGAGTTTTAATAATCAAGGCGGTTGCAGTCTGGAAAGTTAAGTGGCCAGATGAGTGATACGTTCGCAGAAATTGTCTGACAGCGATGGCTAATTACGCCATCATTTGTGGCATGGTGCAGAATCTTGTTGTCAGACATCGGGTTTTTCAGTAGACACCCTCTTGACCCAGAGCAGTACTACTTCCTCAAGATACTTGATGGAGTCCTCCATGTTGAGTCCGAGACCCTGCGGGAAGATGAATGGTGGCATAACATCGCCATCACCATTGACCACTCTAAACACCTACGTTATCACCATTCGACTAAGTCAAAACAATAAGAGTAACTTTTTGATGCTTTCATACCTTGGTAATCACCATTAGCCTCATCCAACTCTTTTCAAATCCCCTGCACTGTCCTCAGATTGATAACCAATCACCTTGAAATGTTCGTATTGGAGCTTTCGGCGCGAATGCCAAGCAGTACAGCATGCTGTTTCCAAATTTCTGGCGGAATGATTTGATTTTTTCTTACAGAGGGTGCCCAACTGACCCTAGTAACTGTGCAGTCGACAAAATCAAAAACAAACAAGGCGACAATTTACCCATCGCACCCTGTACAATGACAAACAAAAGTACTGGGTGCAGAGGATTGATAAGAAAATAATTTCTATTATTAATAATAAAACCAAAATTGAGCTGAATATATTAAATGCTTAGGATATAAAGGCTGTTCCAATAACTTGGACCGATTTTAAATATAAATTAATTTTAAGCGTCTAATAATTTTTTCTTTTTTCTTTCAGAATTAACAGCTTAAGTCTTTAGTAATTTCAACCATGGAAAGATTAACAATCAAACAACGAAGTTATCGAAGCCGATTACGAAAATGGACGTTCAAAGAGAAATTCATTTCGTGCACTTCGCGATAATTTTGCTGTTCCAGGTAATTGACGTACTTAGCAAAGATAAATACAGACTTAGTATTGGATGTTTTTCTTTTTAAAATTCTTGCACAATGGTAAATGAATCAAGTTTTCATGTGAAACTGGGACTTCAATAAAGCTAATTTTGCAATGAAACATGATGAGCTTATTTTTATCTTGTAATTTCAAATTAAGGTCACTTAATTGGGCAGTAATATCCACTGAAAAAGCTAGATCTTGGAGTCTTTTTCAGTTCATCTGTACTTCGACGCTTCATCTCCAAAAGCATAACAATTTCGTGTCGCAATAAAATAAAAAAGTGTAAAATAAAAGGTGTTCAACTTTCTTAAAAAAATATCCTGGCTTGTAGTATCATGCATTGGGACCAGTTCAATTAGTTCTTCATAAATTTGAAATTCATTGTTACAAGCCCTGATGAAAATGGCGAGCTGTTCTCTTCCAGATATACAGTCTCATCCAGAGCAATAGAAAAATGTTCAAAACTTGATGATAAAATCTTCAACTGTCGACTCAAATCACCTGCCATTTCATCAATCCGTTCAGCAACAGTGTTCCTGTTTAATGAAATGTCTTGAAATAAATGTGACTTCTCTGGAATACAATTTCAGCTGTTTTTACAAAACATCACAGAGTTCAAAGCTTGCAGTAAGAGAACTAACGTTGTCTTTCTGAATTATTGTAAAGCAAACTCTCTTGCTGTGTTAACCTAACCTTTGAATTCTTTCACTTTTAAAATCCGCATATCTCCTTCATATTTATCATAAGATCGATGGTTTGTTTTATAATCTCTTTTCACATTATATTCTTTTGGCGTCGCAATGCAGTGGTTGCAAATCAAACAGTTTATCTTTCCATTAACAGTGATACAAAACTACTGTACTTCCCAATTTTCTTAAAACACACGTCCTTCTTCAGATAATTTTCTCTTTTGACAAGATGGGAATTCAACATTTTTAAGGCAAAATATTACAAAATTACAACCGTTTTCACTTTACATTTGTTCTTATTTATTTGTCAAGGATGATCACATGATTAACCGGAAGTTAAAAATAGTCGCTAACATTCTAAAAAAAACAAACAAAAAAATAACCATTGAGATAGAATAAACAATCTAATCATACCAATTGAAAAAAAATCTCACTGTTTTTAATAATTTGCATTAGCAACATAGACAAAATTCTCGATGTACCACGGCTGTAGAAACCTTTGTGAGGGTCTCCAGGATGCATGTAAAGGGCCGCATGCGGCCTACGGCCCACCTGTTTGACACACCTGTCCTAGACCATTGAAACGTACATGCTATTCTACATATTCTATACACATTCACACACACACACAAACATTGCAGCGGAAAATATATATGAAACTGCTTCAAGCTTAGGTAGAGTCACAACTGGAAGTTTTCACACTAAGACAAAGCTTCAAGTAATTGGAAGGTACTACTGGTGTTTGGTTGTAATGCTTTTACTCTGAACCCATGTTTTATCCAAGGATTTGTTATAGAAGAATGCTGCTCCTGCTGCTTGCTTATGGCAGTTCTATGAATTTCTTTCTTTTTTATAAACCGAATATCGTTTCTTACCTGTTCGTTGCAAGTTGTTGCTAAGTTTAGGAGTTGTTCCAATGTCTCCATATGTTTTGTCTGTCACGGCCCACAAATATCAAGTTGAAAAGGCGAGAACACGCTTTCCCTGTAAAGATGAAAAGAAATAACATCAGTTTTAATTTATTTATGCAAGCCACTGCAATAGGACTTTAGAAAAAAAAATTGTGCCAATTGAAAGGCTTTCGTAAAAAAAACAGATTCATTTTCTTGAAATTTCTTTGAACTCAAAAGATTACTTCTCCAACCAACAAATTGGCTTCTTATCCAGAACTTTCTTTTTAAAATCAAATACATATAAACTTTTCGTATAAACAGTGAAGCGAAAATAAAAGACCTGCACCAAAAAATGTCTTAGAAAGATAGCATGCGAGGTGGAGAAGGAATTTCAGTCAGAAGTAATTTCTTTGGGTGTTCTGGTAAGATAAAGTAACACTGGAAATTACTTAATTTGATTGTAGAATTTATTCTACGTTCATTAGGTGTTTTTGGTAAAAGTAAGGAAATGTATTATGAGTTGCATTTTAAGATTGGCACCAGGTGTGTTGAAATTAATCAGTTCTCTTAATAAGTGTAATTCAATTGTATTATTTGCGACAAACATTCTTTCCTGTTTAAATTGACATTACATATATATACATACATACATACATACATATATATATATATATATATATATATATATATATATATATGTGTGTGTGTGTGTGTGTGTGTGTGTGTGCGTGTGTGCATCCTGGTAAAAAAAATACAATCTCTACATTTAGTGGACGTCCCCACGCATATATATATATATATATATATATATATATATATATATTATAATTTTATCATATAGACAAAACCATTTTACTCACTAGACAGATGCAACTTGGTTTCAGTGCATAACCATTTTCGATTCTCACCCGTCGAAGTGCAGTTGAAATGCATTGAAACTAAGTTACATCTTTGTAGTGAGTAAAATGGTTTTGTCTATATGATAAAATTATAATAAATAAATAATTATCACTCTACTATCGGTATCGAGCCCTCTTTTGGATTAATGCTGTGAACGTTGCAATTTATATATTACTTTCGTTCTCACCACATCATATATATATATATATATATATATATATATATATATATATATTAGCAGCATGGCCCGGCGTTGCCCGTGCTTGTTTCAAAAATCGTACGACTCATACAGCAATCACTATCACTTGACTTAAAATATTTTTGCCTTTCCTTGCCTTTAAAGGAGTGCCCTTTGCCGTGCTGATGTTGCTACATGCCTTACTTCTTGCCTATCTCACACTGCGAATTTTTTCTAAGCTCTATACTAAACATTAAATCTGTTACGAAAAAAGAGCTAAACAAAATGAACACAAAACGATCAGCTTTAAAAAAGGACTCGTAACTGAATAAAACGAATGAAAAAAGAATGTTAACAACAAATACTTTTTCACACCCAACCCAGTTTTGCGGAATCAGAATCAACGTTTAATTTAAGCAAGCGAATGAGCCAATTGGAGTAAAGTGCCATGCAGATTTAAATT